AGGCCTTCTATCCCACTAGGAGTTTCTTTCTGAAGGTGACAATACCTCCCAATGAAGCTACCAGACACATTCCCACCAAGACGTCCAACCTCCCACACATGCAGGTTTACACTGCTATTTTCTTACCTTGTTATACTGTTTGAGTGCCTGGCTGCTATTCAGATTTACAGTAGACTAACACTATTAACACTGAGACAATCCTTGGAACAAAGTGAGATTAAATATGTCGTGAAGACTCCTGCAGAAACACTTATCTTTTAACAGGCTATGTTCCAAACTCTGAGTGCTAATCTCATAAGCAGTTTTACTGGAGCATAGAAATTTAACAAAGTTTATTTTACTTCTATCACATTTCCTACAGAAAAAGAAACCTCTCTAGCTTGCCTTTTGAAAAGACCATTATTTTTTTGAGAAATAAAAAAAAAGACCACCAGAAAAAAAAAAAGTTTTGAGACTCAGAGTCCACACAAAATGTTCTGATCTAATTTATTTCCTTTCATAAGTAGAAAGAAAGCCAATTTAAAAGTTCAGAAGATAGACAGACAGCACCGTCATCTTCTGCTTAGGAGGAAATTAAGGCCAGCAGAGGTAATGAAATGGAAAGTTGACTCTGAAAGCGCAGAACAGAGCAGAAATGTCTCAGGGTATTACAATTAAATCATGCAATACCTGGAAAACTCTGTTTCTATGTTGACCTATAACCAGACAGTTCTTAAGTTGAGAATAACTACAAGATAGCTGGTTTTAAAAAATTTGTTTTCTTGTAAAGTTGCAAGATGACTCTACTGCTAGTGGCTTTGTGTTGCCTTGTTTGTTTTTTTGCTTTTTCTTTTTGTTTTGTTTTGTGTTTTTTTTTAAAAGCAATACCCCAATAATTATTGCAGTCTGCTTTATAATGATGAATGAACCCCTTACAGCTCCATTCACCAAATTACCCCATTTCTTTTGAATAAATAGTTTTCAAGGTTCTGAAACACGTATCTTGAGAAAGCGGACGCCATAAAGGAAATTTGTAAGTGCAGATCAATATAATTCAATGCAATACGAAAATGGACATTTGAACTCTGAAATTCATTCTGATAGCCTTAATGGAGCATATTCCACATAATTTTTTGCTATTAACTCAGCTTCTTGACAGCTTCTTTGCTGGAAAAGATGTGCGTATACAGGCACATACATAAAAGCAGGTAAGAAGAGAAGTCACAAAACAATGAAGGAAACCTGCTGACTCAAGCCATCAAACCAGACACAGTGAGCCCATAGAAAGGCAAACCACTGGTACTGCAAAACTTCGTTGGTATGTATTTAAACTGAAGGATATAAAAACTATGTATTTTTCATCTGTTATGCAGCAAGTGTGATTTATCAGCAGCGTTATATGTATAGTATTTACTAACTGGTTAAAACCTCAAAAATTTAAGAAATTTATACATATTTGTGAGGTTTGTATTTTGGAGTAAAAATTGGAAGGCTCACAGACTGACAACTGGGTACTGGCATTTCTATTTCTAGGGCTCCCCACTTTCCCTGAAGTCTAGGAATAGACAAAGCATAGATAATTTGTTGGTGTCAAGAGACAGATTAATCTATCTTAAATGGAAGTAGGTTGAAAAATATCACATGAACATATATTTCTCATGACGTCTTTAAAATACTCATCTTCTCTCATTCACAGTTCAGTAGGAACCAAAAGCAAGACAATAATTTGAAACTAAATATTGTATTCTTTCCCTCCCTCCCAATGTCACTTTTTCATATAAGAGATTGTAACACGAAACAGTTTATATCACAGGACTTCTCTTCCTTTTCTGATATGGAAGTAAACATAAAAGAATGTTCTCAAGAATCAATCTGTAGATTATCTTTGATATTCAACTTTTCCATTTTTCTTATTTAGAACTTAAGTTTTATTTCTGTCAGGTGATAAGGAGCTTATTTCCTTTTTAAATAACAAAGACTCAGACTCTCTGCCAGTACAGAAATATATAGTTTTTACTACCTGTTACATGAGCTCACATCAGCTAGCAGTCTACCTGCATAAATTAAAACTTGATAATAAATATCTTGATACTTTTTAAAACTAGTTTTTGTCCTAAACTTTAAGGTAATGAACATTAAACTGCATTTTATGACAGCTGAATAATGCAGAACAGATGTTGAGCTAAAATTTCATTTGCCAAATGTCAGCTCAGAATACGTATATAAAACTGGAGTATTAGTAATCCAAACTACACGGTGAAAACAATGGAAAAAATTGTCAACTCCATCAGTGCCTGCCAACCATTTTTCTGGGACTTCAGATGGAAATTCAGCCTGAATTGAAGATTCCAGAAAATAATGTTCAGTTTTAGGAACTCTGCTTATTGGGATGAGTACGTTCTCTTCTGGGTATATCTGTTTCTCATCTTGAGCTGACTGACACATAGCAAATGCTAACCCAAAGCCTGCAATTAGTATGCTTTTGTCTTGCAGTTTTTCCTCTGCCAGTGAGCCTGTTAGGACCTCTGGTTGGACAGGTAGGCTCAGTGTCCAAAAGTGATGCCTGCCATTCCCCTTCATGATTCATCTCAGTCACAAAAAACCCCAGCCAACCCAAGCAGGAACTGAAGAATTATCAGTTGACAAAGTCCATCCGCTGACTAAGATGCTTATTTTTTTCTTGCTATGTCATGTATAAAGGATAACCCTTTGGGGAATACAATGCTACTTAAGACAGACATTAAAAGTCTTTTTTTGTATTTGGGCCATGCTTTCCTTTTCCCAATTAAAGCCAGTACTTCTAATTTTACCTCCCATGTGCTACCCTAAATTATTTCTGTCCTTCCATAATATTTTTTCTGCAGAGTCTTCTGTCCCTTCCTTTCCACACTTGTCATTTCCCCACATTTCTGTAGTCTATCCATAGAAAAGTCTCCTGACTGCTCTTCTTCAAACTCCTTCCAATTTTTCACTGCCTTTCCATGAACAATCAGGAGCTGCTCTGGGCCACTGACAGTTTCACAAGCCAGTCTGCCTAGGTGGACCACAGCTTCTGGGGACAGTGAACTACACCCTGCTGGAGACTAGGGCATGACAGGCAGGGGTGCTTCTGACATTGTTCTGTAAGAAATATTTGAACCAGCAAGTAAGGGCAGCAAAAGTAAGTAAGAGATGCCACACACAGCCCATGCATCAAATGAATGCGATCAAGAGTAATGCAAACCTCTTTTACAAAAGGTATTTTGAGAAAAATCCAATCCATCTAATTAGTAATAATATTTCCTGATCCCCTCTAAAGAGTTTATCAAGTTCAATTTATACCTGAATGCCTGCTCGCTCCTACTTTACCTACAGAAATCAATACTCGTGAACGTACAAATGGTATCACAAGACAAGAAAGAACCAAAAAGCAGGCAAATGAAAAACGTGCAAGAGGAAATCATCTTTTACAAGCATATATCCTATACACTAACTGAATAATAATTGTGATAGAGCAACTAAATAGAGATAATATTTTCTTAAAAAGATATGTCTAGGACCTATAGACATACTGTAATTATGTTTTTCCTGTCTATTGAGAATGGTGCCTTCAACATCATTGTGCTTCTCGTATGAACACATCATATGGATTACAGTAATTTCTCCTCTAGTTTAGTGCACTCCAAATGTAATTTTCTTTACATCTGAACATGTGACAATTACAAAGCAAAGCTTTTTTTTTTTTTTCCTTCATGGGCTTTTATATTCTTGAATACAAGTGTATCAAGATACCAAGGTTTCAGAAAAAGACTTTCCCCTTGGTTACCAATGTTTGCTCTGGGGCAGGGGAAACAAAGGGAGGAATTCAGATTATGTTTTCTCAAATTTGTTGAGGAATATCAAAAGCTAGGGAAAAAAACCAACAAAAAAAAAAAGGTTGAAGACAAGCATTTTCTCAACAAGTAAGACTCTACAATGGCTGAGGTAACTGCAAGCAGTGATTTTTCTGATGTACCATAAAATTTAGCTGCTGTTTTTAATGCAGTTAAAGAAGCATTTTCAAATTGTTGCCTTAACACCTCCAGCGTTTTTGTTGGGGGCAAATTTTTGGGCTCTCCTATCATTAAGTTACACATAGAAAAAATAAATAAATAAATAGCACCATCTGCCATAGAAAAACCTTGTATAAATTAACACTTTCAATAAGTTTAAACTTCAGTTACCAAAGAGACTTGCCTTCTTTTCCATCACAAAACGGAACAAAATCACCAAGTGCATTGGGGGTGACAGTATTGCCATTGCTGTTAGCATGGAAGTCAAATCATTTGCCAGAAACCTCACTCTGTAATCCATCTGCCTGCTTGGGCTGTGCATGGCTAAAAAGTTTCCTCCTTGCACCTTCCCTAGGTATATGAGAATGGTCATGCCTCACAGCAACACTCCAAGTTGTGCTATATATTTAAAAAGCATGCACAGTAACAACCATTTCTGCAAATCTGTAGTACAAACATTCTGCTAACAGGTACTGGCATCAGAAGCCTGCACAATACACAGGGTGAAGCACAAACCTGATTCTGTGTCGCTTCCACACTGCTCACTCTCATTGTTCAATACCAGAATACCCTTTTCTGCAGCTTTTATGAATATTAACTGCAGACAAACCAACAACTGTAACAACTTCTGCCCAAGAAACAACTTGAAAATTCAATCCACAATGGCGACAGAATCAAAACAGTCATACCGCTCCTCCCGTTTTCAGAGAAAATTACTTTTCATACCCTTTTGAGAGGTGGCACTACTGAAAGCAGGCTAAACACACATACTCAAGACCACACCTATCATTTTGTTTCACAGAAGAGCTCATGAGAGCCTTCCAAGGTAAAACAGTAGGACAAAGCTGTCACGCAAACAAAATCTTTCATGTACAATCATGGTTTTGTTTTCTTTTTTTTATATTCAACAGCAGAAACAGACAAAGCAAACTGCAATTACAAACCTCTGCACGAGCAAGAAATTAAGTAGACAATGAAGGTTTCACCCACCTGGGATCTTTCTGAATGCTATCAATGGAAGGTGACCTAGCCAAGGTCCCCTCGGGTGGGATGGCTGGCCCAGATTTGCTGTATGGTGATTCAACAGAAGGACAATACTGCAGCTGTCGGTAGGGGTCTGCGTAATTGGAGGCCGGGCCGGCCGCATAGCTGGCCCTCTGGAAGGTCGCTGTTGCGTTCTGTGTGCCGTGTTGACTGCCTGTGCGCTGTAAGGGTACGGAGTCGACACCAGGGGAAGATGGGGCTACGACAGGAAAGTAGGGACAAAGTAAAAAATTGAGGACCTGTTCACAGAAATGGTTAACCAGGTCTAGGCAGAGGAAAAAAAAAAAAGAACCAACAAAAAAATAAACACACACATATAAAACAGGGGTTCAAAAAGAATGAGAAAAAAAAACAAAAACAAACAACATTGTCATTTTCAAAACCATTGAAGTAAATAACTGTCAAACGAATTTCTAAATGACATGCCACTTCTGGACTAGGAGACCTTTACACCAGTTAAACAGACCGTAGCAGTGCTTTTCACTTGGGGATTTAACTGCACTAACCTGAAATGAAAAAGTGCAGAAGCAGCAGAGTACTAGTCAAGCTAAGATTCACAACCACCACCTAGTGAAGCTTTTGCAGGGCTTACAGGGGTGGAAGTCAGTCAGATCCACCAGCAGAAGGAGGGCCAAACCAGGCTCAAGACTCCAAATTGGGACAGATGGCTCTATGGCAGAAGAAATAGACAGCCACAGCCATCCCAAATTTACAGTCCTGGTATCCATAAAGCAGGTAAAAACAGACACCTGCTACTGAGAGTCGTTACGTACGCTTCATTAACCGATCTTCTGCATATTTCATCTTAAGTAAGACTTAGGGGCCTGCTACTGCTGAGTCTGAAAAAGAGCTAAGCACAAGGTGATCACGTAGATGTCTTAATGCACGCCAACAACGGCTGTGCTCACACACCACAGCTCAAGATTAATGCATTACCAGTTTTGAGTGGCTTAACCAACAGATTTAAACTGACTTAATGCTTTTGTGACTCAAAAAATCTTAATTTCTCTTGTAGCCCATTCTCTTTTGCTATGGCACCGTGCACTGGAGATCCAGTCTACTTCATGATGGTTATTAAACATGCAATATTTTTCAACCCAAGTCCAGGTAATGGGAAATGGATTCTCACTGTAAGGGCCAAAGGACCAACATCCACACGACCTTTGGCCTGGAAACAAATACAAATTAAATGTTGGATCTGCTCAGAAGGAAATTTGGACTGTTTGAAGTGGCACATGAACTCATGGTGGTGATGAGCTCATTTCCCCCTGTCCTAGGATAACAAGAACACTTTCGCCAACAGGAGTGGGCCAGGTGCAGGACTATTTTTAGCTTTGTCAAAGTCATATGCAAAACTGTAGGCAAAACCGCATATTCAAGAGAATTTTTCATAATAGATTTCCCAACCATTTCTCATTAACATGCACATTTGCATTTTAAGAAAATAAATATTTTTAATATATTATAGGTCCATGAAAGGGACTTTAAACGTTTCATCCCAAAGTGCCAGCAAACAAACAACAGTGAGCTTTAAATACAATTACAGCAGTTTTGTCTGACCTAGTACTTGTTTAAGTTACAACACCTGAAAATTTGAAATTTGCATCAAATTTTCCCTTTATTTTCTTTTTTTTCTTATGGTTCTGAAGTATATATTTTTCCATTAACATGTATTGTCTTATAACTTTGTAACAAACATAGATAAGTGAAATGGCCCATTTATCTATTGCCCCATGATTGGGAGTGTTCGAGGTCAGGTTGGACCAGGGCCCTGAGCAACCTGATGTAGTTGAAGGTGTCCCTGCTCATTGCAGGGAGTTGGACTTGATCATCTATAAAGGTCTCTTCCAACCCAGACCAGTCTATGATTACATTAACTTACATATATAGCAACATTTTGAAAGTATTGTTTTTGTTTAATGGCTAGAATATATTTTCTTAAGAAATAAGGTAGTGAGACACATATAGACCTTTTTGTAAGACTGCATCAGTTAACATGCAGTGACAAGATTAGCATACTGAAACAATTCATGCACAAATCATGCCAAATTCAGTGTTAGGAAGACACAAGGAAAACATCACATTTTAACAGAAAATACACACAGTTCAAAACCAAAATTTGGTGCCTTGTGAGAAAGAGAGTGAAAAAACAAGTTAGAGAAAATACTGGAAATACTTTCAAGTGAAAAAGCACAAATGTAATTGTATACTGATATAAGTACTGTCACTATGCAGAATATGCTGCTAGCTTTTGACACATTATATGGGGAATTGCAAAAAAAACAAACACCAAAACCCCTACAACACTAACACTGCTGAGAACAAGAACTTCACTGTAGATTGCTTTGCAAAATATTCCACTCTATTTCCCCTCCTCTCCTTTGCAAGACATTTCAATGGAAATCGTGTTCGTTTTTAAATTCTTTGAAAACTTTTCTTTCTATTTTCTCCTTTTTCTTGTTATCAAAATAGTTATTTATAAGAACTGAAACTAGCTGTCACCCTAACACCTACATGCTTTTTAAGTCACTCTGATTCATTTCTCAAATTATCTTCCTAGCAAACTGTTACTTCCTTTTGAATTTTATCACAATGAGCACAGAAGTGCCATAGTCAGAATACGAGAATGAGACAAATCTATGACTTAGTTAAGATAAGCTTGCTTGGCCACTGTTAGCCAGATCAATTAAAAGAAAAAACAAAAAAACCCGAAGAGCTAACAGTTTAGAATGATTTCTACATCTAACCAGACCATACCCAACTTTCTGGACCATAAAAGGTTTGATATTAGCAGACATTTTTACACAAATAATTTCATGTAAAACTGAAGCAAAGCAATCTCCTACCAACACATTACTCTTGCTTAAAGAAATCCTTTTGGCAAGCAGTCGTACTTACTGAAGTGTGGCTCTTCAGGCTATGGCAAACTTTCTGTCTATTGAGATCTCCCTTCAGTTTAGCTATTAAAAGAGCAAAGCCCTAGTGATTATGGCTATTAAAATAAATAAACTCAGAAGTTCATTTGGCTCACCCAGTGACAGCAAATCTTCAGTGAGCACAGGGGTGTCCAGAAGGCACAGACTTGGAGTGGAGCAGAAAGCACTCTGGTACCAGCTACATTTGCAGATGGTCAATGCAACCTTTTAATGTGTTTTTAAATTGAAGACACTTACCCCTTCCTCTAACTTCTGCATTTGACTTCTCTCAAATCCAAACCAGCTACACATTGACCAGAATCAGCTCAGCATAGGCAAGACACAATACTACTTTGACAAGCGCCTTTGGTTCACCCCAGCAGGGGAAGAGAGATGGGAAGAAGTTGTAACAGAAGTGCTCTTTCTGGAGAAACAGGCCCCCTTCCCATCTCCCAGCAGGGCCTTCCTGGGATCTGGCCTAGTTGAAGCAGGATCATGGCTAAGTCACATTGTTGTCCTGGGTCTATGGCAGACTCTATTCTGCCTGTGCATTAAAGGTAAATCCAAAAGACATGACCAGATTTTGAAGAAGCAGGTCTAGTTTTGTGGGCACCTTGACACCTAGTTGATTTAATGAGAAGCTTTGAGGTAAAGGTGTCCATAGGACTAGACCTGCTTCTGGTCTTTGACAGTCCAGAAGCTGACAAGGATAACAAGATAAAAATCAAAGAACCAAAAAGCCTCAAAGCCTTTTTATTTCTGTATCTTGCTTTACCTAAGGGACAACCCATGAAAGCACCATTTTCAATAGTGAGTGTTGCCCCCCATTTTTTAAAAACTTACATAGAAATTCAGTGGTTGGTGCCAAATAAGTAAGTCTCCATTCTGTTTGCTTTGCACTGGGCAGCTGACCTGCGGCTCCTTCCTGGGACCACTGGGCACAGTGGCCTTGTAAGTGCACAGGGAGCCCGGGGCTGGCTCCCAGGCTCCATCTTCCACCTACACCAGAGGGGTTTGCATGGAAAGCCTCCTGCAATGCTGAGGCTGGCTCCCTCAGCAGGGTCACAGCACCCATCTCTGCTGCAGCTTAGCAGATACCGGGTATAGCAAATAATATGCTCAGTGGGAGGGCAATAAATCTCTACACATTCATGAGATTTTAAACTTCAATACAAGAACCATGCTTGAGGAGGATGATTTTAATTTTGAGTTGAGAAAGGGGTTTCATTGAGGATTTCCAAATGTGCAAATCACGAGCTATAATCTGAGTGATGAGATTTCAGTTTGTCACCTGAAGATTTCTTTTAAGAACTTGTTTTAGTTTGGCATGTCATTAATACCTCAAAAATACATCATCTCAGTCCTTCACTACTGCAACACCAAAATCACATCCCCAGAAAACTGAGCACCTGGGATACCACAGAAACGTTTTATGTTCTTACAAATCTTTGCCAAAAGATTGAGCCCCTGGTCACTACAGTGAAAACTCTCCAAAGACCTGATATGTGCCCTGATTATGGTTCTCTTGACTGCAGAAATAGCATATAGAAAAGCCAGCCTTTATAGCTGTCTACAGCTTTTGCATAGTATCAACAAAGATAAAGCAACTTTTATATTCATGTTGAAAATTTAGGTGTGTCTCTAAACGTGCTCACAGACTCATGAGATATTCAACTCCAAAATTCACTTTCAGGTTTTGTATCTTGTTTTCAAATCTATGACATCTCTAGAAAGAACTAACAAAACCCAAACTGCAAGAACACATTGATTTAGGCAGGGATACCACTGCACCATACCTAAGTATCTTAGGGAGACCAAATTCACATAAGAACTGCTAAAAATTTCAGACTTTTAGAAAGTCAGAGGGCATTTTGCCCAGTTAACATATGTAAGATCAGACCTTCAGAAAGGAGAAACTGATTTATGAGACTTATCTTGTAACACCTTCTTACTGAAAATTACTTGGCTGATGCTGCTGTTTGACTTGTGGATATTACCTTGTAAATTTTTCCTCTTATTATTCTGTATTAGACATTCAGGTTCTGTGTTAACCTTCTCCTTGCGCCTTTCATACAGATTTCATAATTCTTAATTTTTTTTCCCCCACTGATTTGCACCTGCAGTTGATTCTTACTCTCATGTGAAAGTTGAAAATTGGATCCCAGCAAGATGTCCTTTCAGTGCAAGGTATGTCCACCATCCCTCCATGAGTTCATAAATAATACAAATGCAGTGCATTCTGTTGGCAGCAAATACACAGGAAGATTTATAAAACAGATATTTT